TAAGTCTTGAGAAGAATTCTAAGAAGAAAGTAAACCTACAGACATCGGTCTTGTTTAACAAAATATATATATATATATATACCGATGTCTGTAGGTTTACTTTCTTCTTAGAATTCTTTTCAAGAAGTCGATAAGCCGTCTTAACGTTGTTAAGTCTTGAGAAGAATTCTAAGAAGAAAGTAAACCTACAGACATCGGTCTTGTTTAACAAAATCTGCCTACAAGAAAATCTGTCACCAAAGTACACCAACATATATATATGATACAGAGTAAGGCCTGTAATATTTGCATTTTACAATATCATCCTGTTTCTGTTGTTATTTTTTTATTCTAGGACACTGTCTGTGAGTGAAGTTTGTGTAAGTGTTAGTATAATATTTTCTTTATTATTATTCTGATTTGTATACTGACTTCTAATGATAAAGAGTGTGTAAGTGATAATATGATCTTGTTTTTATTATTAAATGAGGTAGTGAATACAAGTGAAGAAACTTGTGTAAATTTTAGTATTTTGTTTTCAGAGAAGAAAGTGATAGGTACTTTGTTTCAGATATTTCAACATTTTGAACTTATTGAAATCAAGAGATCAAGCGACAGTGTAAAAGTACTGTTTCTAGTTTATTCAAGGTTTGGTATTTTACATTATTTAGATGTAAAGTCAGCCAAGGAAGATCGTGAAGTTGCAGTAGAAGAATGGAACCAGTTGGCTACTAGTCTTGGTATGTTGTTTTGATTTAAAGGCTTATTTCATTACAATAAAATTATTATTCATCATTCACAGGTTTTAGTAGATTTTTAAATTAAAGTTATTTTATTAAAATGTTGTTTATGCTAAAGAATGAAAATTTTCTGACATTCCTCTTTTTTTTTAATATATCTATGAGAAAGTTGGAAATCAATGGCATAATTTTCAGTCAGAGGAGTATACTATTCTTTGAAAGAAGTTATTAGTGAATAAATATTTTTTCAACAGGTAGTGGAGTTTGAATTATTTAAAGTTTATTAAAATATGAATAACAATACAGCTACATTTTAAAGTATTGATAATGTTAACTTAAACATAGCAGTTGAAGTATAATACTTCTTTAACCTCCTTGGCATTCTAATATTTGTGAATTTTTGTGCCATAAGTGTTTTTTTATTTTATGAAATATTTTTAATTCCCTTATTATCAAATTAAATTTACCAGTCATTTAAATTAACTAAACAGGTAGCAAACACTCATACTTTTCTAATATGCACTGCAGGGGCAGATACAGGGGGGAGTCCAGCCCCCCCCCCCCTTCTTGGAAGAACTTTTTTGAAAAATTGGGAAATTTTAAGTGAAAATGGCAAAATTGACCTAGAAAACTCACCTACACCCCTTTTCCAGCTAGAACCCTTTCCCCATTTCTAAAAATCCCGTATTTGTACCTGCATACTACTTATATGTAAAAAAAATAATATGGTGTATATAAACTGCAATAATCAGCAATTCTTTTGTATGATAGTCTAGAAGTAGGAAATTAATTTAGTATAAATTCATGCAAAATAAAAAATATAACCTTTATATTTATTTACCTATAAGCTGACTTCAGGGATTAGAATTTGGATTTGGTGTGGCAGTACTTGAAGTAGGTCACTGCACACAAACCAATATTAAAAGAAGGACAGCAGAGCTCTAAGTACTGACTCTATCTATGGTGTTTAGTGATGTAAAGTAGTGGTAGATGGCAATAGCACACAGCAGAAAAACTGGGACTAAATGTTGCAGAATCTTTCTAGAATCTCATGACGTGTTACTAGTGTCACGTGACTTCCACTGTCGTAACACTGCCCCTTCCTTATTATTGTTCATCCCGAACAATAGCCACTTACATTAAACCAATAGTTAATTAACAATAACTTAATTAAATGGACAGAATTTACAAACACAAAATTAAAATTTAACAAAGTCTCTTAATTTTATGGGACGTATCTTCTTCCGTACTGGTCTCCATCTTGTTGGCTTCTGCTTCACGTGGGGTTCATCTGCTCCATCAGGAAAATGTCTGTTATTGGTAACAGTCACATCAGTGGTAGTAACTTCATTAAGGGCTTCACTGTTTCCCTTCTCAAAACCGGGTAGAGTTTCTTCATCAACAGTGGCTTTTTCAGGTGACACGTCTTCAGCAGCGTCATTTGTTCCATTGTTCACTTCATCCCAGCTGAAATGTCCTGGACCATGATAACGCCAAAGCCTGTTGGCATGCACCACCTTTGGCTTACCTCGCCAACCACATTTTATTTGGAAAGTCACTTCTCAGAGACGATCCACTATGTCATATGGGCCTTCTCATGGAGAAGACAACTTAGGAGACTTCCCTTTGGTCTTCCTGGGATTATACAACCACACCTTGTCTCCTGGTACAAAGCTGACTTCAGTAGACTTTTTATCATAACATAGCTTCATCAAATCAGCAGACGTTTTCAAGTTTGAATGCACTTGATGGTGAATATCATCAATCCTTTCAAATAACACTTTCAC